ACATTAGAATTCTAATCTGTTAGATTGACCTACATCCAGACGCATTTAGAGTCACTCCAGTTTAGATATAAGCATCCATTGCTTAATTCCATCATGATTTCTTGCTGAATGACCTGGGGCAAATTACTTAACCTCTCTGACCTTGGAGACATTTCATCTTCCATCCGTGTAACAGAGAAAGCAATATCTATGTCTCAGTCATGCCAGGGTTGGGCGAGAGAAGAAATGAGAAACAGTGTTCAAAAATAGCCCCCAAAGGGAGTGGCACTATTAGGGGGTGTGGCCTTGTTGGAGTAGGTGTAGACTTACTGGAGGAAGTGTGTCACTGTGGAGGCAGGTTTTGAGGTCTCATATATTTTCAAATCATGCCCAGTGGGACAGTTCATTTTCTGTTGCCTGTGGATCAAAGATGTAGAATTCTCAGCTCCTTCTCCAGCACCACGTCTGCCTGCACCATGATGATAATGGACTAATAAACCTCTGAAACTGTAGGCCATACCAATTAAACGTTTTCCTTTATAAGAGTTGCCATGGTCATGGTGTCTCTTCATAGCAAGCTAACCAAGACAACACTAAACTAAGACAGCGCGCGCGCGCACACACACACACACACACAAGTCAAACTCCTTTCTACTTTGCATTAATTTTCAAACCAATCTGATTGTTTGGGAGGACATGTAAAGACCTCATCAGAACCTCAACAAAGGTGTATTTGAAAATAGTTAGGGACCCTGAGCCTGAGTGTTAGACCAACTGAATTTACTGACAGTTCCCACTCGTACTTGAGGGGTGACCAGAGGTCAAGAAGCTGCTGGTGGTGCTGTTTAGAGCCCTAGTGTTCTGCTCAGTATAACATGTACTGTGGAGCTGATTGACTGTTGAGAGATCTATCCTCTTGTGGGGAGTCCATTAATGCACCCGCTAGTTTCTGGATAAACTAACGCCCAGGAAGCCAGACAAAAGAGATGAGGACCCTGCCTCTGAATGAACATCTATCTCTCTACGCAAGGGGCCCCTAAGCCAATCCCTGTCTACTACTTCATCTGCCAGCATCCAGGCCCACATTTTCAACACAGGATTAGAGTGTCCACGGTAGCATTTAATTACACCACACCAGTGGCATCACCCGCAAGACCAGCACTAAGCCCAGGTCATCCCATTGGAAAATAAAGCTTCCCATCAAACTTAAACTTTTGATTGAATGGGAGATGGGGAAAAGAAGGAATGGAAGGGTGGGTCTGAAGGAAGGATGATAACAGTTTTACATTCCTCCTCCCTCACCGCCCCCCCGCCGTGGTTTCTTTGTGTATTCCTGGCTACCCTAGAACTAGCTCCGTAAAGTAGACTGGTCTCAAAGTCACAGAGATTTGCCTGCCTCTAGTTCTACCACTACCTATCTTTATGTTAACTTCTTGAGAACATATTCTTACTGGAAAAGACTAGTCAGACGGTCAGTGGTGGCATAGTCAGGCAGTGGTGGCGCATACCTTTTATCCTAGCACTCGGGAGGCAGAGGCAGGTGGATCTCTGTGAGTTCCAGACCAGCCTGGTCTACAAGAGCTAGTTCCAGGACAGCCTCGAAAGCTACACAGAGAAACCCTGTCTCAAAAAACTAAATAAATAAACAAACAAATAAATAAATCAGGCAGTGCCTAAATTGCATCTAACTGTATCAAAGTGAGTTCCTTCTGAGGTCTGCCTTGCGTTTTGCTTTGTTTTGTAGGTAGGCAACGTAGTGGGGGGGGCAGAGAACAGTAGACTACAAGCAGTTGTCACACAGTTCCACAAGCTTGGGGAAAGTCCACAACTTGTTAGAAATACAAAAAAATAGTCTTTTGTTCACTCTCTTTTTTTTCCTTTGCTTAGTTTTTATTTGTGTGTTATAGCTAATTTTTAGTTTTCAAAGAAACTGAAAAGCGATATGTCCATCACTTGAGGCAATGACAGAAAGCAAGCAAATATGTGAGATTCTCAAACTTTGATCTGTTATATCAAAAGGAGTCTTAAACCTGAAAACTAATGGGCAAAAAGCTGTAAGAAAAACAAAAGCTCAAGCCAGGTAAAGAGATAGCTAAATGGCTCTTTTTATACGAGCTTGGTAATCAAATTGCACTTCAGGACACTGAATCTTTGAGAAACTTGAGAGAATGGTAGAGGTGAGGACAGTTTGATTTTTTTTTCTTTTTTTTCTTTTTTTGTTTTTGTTTTATGAGACAAGGTTTCTCTGTATTGTTTTGGAGGCTGTAGGTCCAGCCTGGCCTCGAGCTCACAGACATCCGCCTGCCTCTGCCTCCTGAGTGCTGGGATTAAAGGCGTGTGCCACCACTGCCCGGCGATTTTTTTTTTTCTTAAGAGCAATCAGGTTTGGTGGTGCACAGCTTAATCTCTGGCTTTGTGGTAACCCTGAGGTGAGAAAGTCATAAGTTCGAGTCAGCCTGGCTTAGAACAAAACTCTGTTCCAAAAATAAAAAAGGAAGAAAGGAATGGCTCACAGGTTGTCCTCTGTCCTCCACGGGTGTTCCTTGTTGTGCTCCCTCCCTCCCTCTCTCTCTCTCTCTCTCTCTCTCTCTCTCTCTCTCTCTCTCTCTCTCTCTCTCTCTCTCTCTCTCTCTCTCACACACACACACACACATACACACACACACATACATACACACACACATATACACACACACACAGTCAATAGAGAAAAGTAATTTTTTTAAAATAAAGGGCTGGAGATGGTTCAGTTGGTACAGTACTTAGCATAGAATGCATGAAACCTCAGGTTCAACTTTTGCACCAAGTAAACCACAGTGATACACACCTGTAATCTCAGCATTTATGAATCCTCGGCCTCAAAAAAGAAAATCCCCTGGAAACAACAGACTCACAAATGTGGTATTAATCTAAAGCAGAATCCCAAAATGGTTTATCAGATAGTCTGTGGCAATTAAACTGATATCTCCAGCAATAATAACAATTTTTAAAGGTCATTTTATTTCAAAATATTTGGAAGACAAAATTTGTTTTTACAACAAATAAATAAATATTTGGGGTGATAAACATGTTAATTGCTCTTATTGGTTATTATGCATTATATGCATGTATTGAAAAAAACCACACTGAATTCCATAAGTATACATAGCTGTTGAGTGTCAATTAAAAGCAAATAAATTTAATTTTTTTGGTTTTGGTTTTTTGAGACAGGGTTTCTCTGTGTAGTTTTGTAGACCAGGCTAGCTTCCACCACCACCTGGCTTAAAATAAATTTAATTAAAAAAAATGGGTTGACCAAGATGATATGATGTTCTCTTTTGATGAATATTCTTTAACAACTAGATCCAAGAAATTCAGACATTCATTTTTGCTACTGAAAAGGTCGTCCATGGAGCTGAGTATCACAGTGATAGCTCATGTGTATAACCTCAGCACTTGGGAAGCTAAGAAAAGAGAGTCTAAGGCCAACTGAGAATATGTAGTGCATCCCAGGCCAGTTTGGGCTACATAGTGAGGCCCTATCTCAAAGAAAAAGAACAGAAAAGGTGTTTCATTGCATTCAGTGGGAAAGGGAGGCAAAGAGGGAACCATACCACTGCACAGCTCTCCTCCACTAGTGTGTAGCTAAACCCAGAAGTTAAGCAAGTCTGCCACATTCTGGATTTAACCCCACCATAATCAGTATATCTACTAACGAGGTTCAGATTTAAGAGAAGACAATTGATTCTGCAAAAAATCTATTTCTGCTAGAAGAAGGGGTAATGAACTAGATGGCAGATCATGAAAGTGTCTCAGCACAACAGATATGAGGACATAACAGCATTGAAATACCACACTCCCCACGTCCTTGGTGACAAAGGTAGAGTCCCTTTATGAAGCTGAGATAGAATCACAAGACTGGTTGAACAGGAAGAGATTTTGCCTTGACACGGGTCATGGGAAAAGACAGGGAAGTAACATTTCTGGCAAATCCCACCAGGGACTTTAGGTTAGGTCCATAGAAATCTACTTAAAGATGGAGTGTCTAAAGGCTTGATGGATGTTTGTCTTCTGTCTAAAAGAGAATGGAGTAGTCAATAGTGTCGGGAGAAATGGGAACAGTGGAGGAAAGTATCAACTTAGCATAAAGATGGGAATAGCTCCTAGGAGAGGTGAGCACTGTCCCTAAACTCTTGAAGAGCTATCCGTTTGCACAAGATGATAAGAGACAAGTCCATGAAGCATGGGTAACTTTAGAGGTGAGGACAACGAATCCTCCCCTAAAAGACCTCACTAAAACATTTGTTCTAAACCTTGCTGTTTTCAAAACTATGTGTGAGGGATGAGGGCTTGGATGGTGGAAGGCTGGATGACCAAGTTGAGCCTGGCACATGCAAAAAAAAACTCTAAGAGGGATACTGAAGACACACTGTTGGTTGGCTATGCAGCTTAGCACGTGGTTTACCCTTTGTACGTAACATTCATGATTGTCAGGGTTTACTATTGCTGTGAAGAGACACCATGACCATGGCAACTCTTATAAGGAAAACATTTCACTGAGGTTCTTGCTTACAGTTTCAGAGGTTCAATCTATTATCATCACGAAGGGGAGCATGGCAGCATGCAGGCAGATGTGGTACTGGAGCTGAAAGTGCTACATCTTGACTCAGAGGCAGCAGGAAGCCAACTGACTGTCACACTGAGGAAGGCTTGAGAAAGAGACCTCAAAGCCCGCCCCCACAGTGACACACTTCCTCCAACAAGGCCACACCTCCTAATAGTGTCACTTCCTTTGGGGCCCCTTTTTCTCAAATCACCACAATGATCTAGGGAGGTAAACATAACACATAGTCACAAGTTCAACAACAGCCTGTTTGTGCTCGAATCCCAACTCTACCCCTCATATACTGAGTGACCAGACTGACCATGAACAAGTAGGCTTGTCACCCTGGCACTGTCTCTTAATGTGTAGCATGAGGACAAGTTTACCCTGTGAAGATGACATGAACTAACCCAGAGAAAACACTCCAGACCCTGTCAAGTGTGTAAGAAATGCACAGCAATATGTTTGTGATTTATTATTATCCCTATGCGGTCCTGTTGTGCTCTGAAGAGCCCTAGTCATAAGCTCTGGATGAAGGGTAGCAGTCACCTGAGCAGACTCATCACTAGATTTCGGGAGAGGCTTTGGTGTCTTAGAGTTTCTGCATTCATGCAAAAACTGTAATGAGAAGCAGGCAAGAAAGTTTGTTCGGGACTCAGACAGTTTCCAGAACCAACTGCCCCCAGCAGACATTTCTGTCTATCTTAAAATACCAGCTGCAGCCCAGTCATCACAATTAGCAAAGTCTGGGAGGCAGAGCCTAGAATCTAGGGTGCAGCCTCTGCTGTGGACGGAGCAGGCTTCTCAGGCTCCTCTCCCAGATCCACAATCCGGATGGAGTTTTCTTTCTTAGACAGCCAGAAGGCAGCATAGACTGGCTCTGAGAACTTGCAGTCAAACTTCTGAATCAGAGTCATGGTGTCATACTCTACACCATAGAAGGACAGGGTTCCTCCTGGGAAGTTAACATAAACCCCGAGCCTCCGGAAAGGGCCAGCCTTGAGTGGGGTTTCTGTGTCACTGTGCCAGGCTGTGAATTCCTTTCCATTCCAGTGAATGCTCCAGGAGAAGTTGTTTCCAGAAATGCAGCTATTTCGTTCCTCCCCTTTACGGTCAATGCCTTTGCAAGTCAAGCCAACGTAGGTGCCTCCTCCATTGATCTCCACCTCAAAATAATACCTGTTCAGGTACAGACTCTGTTGTGACAGCACCTGCCGCCAGTGCAAAAATCTGCTGGGGAGGTCAGGGTAGGGGTGCTCCCAGGGTGTGGTGTTGGTGACCTTGCGGTTGTCCTCCTGCAGGCGAAGGTACCTATGTGCAGTGTCTGGGTCAAATGTGATGTCGCATGCATCTGAGGAAACAGAAGACAGCTTTAAACACAGTTGACCCCCAAGGCATTCGTGAAAATACACCCATCTTTTGGTTCTGTTTACCCCAGTCTATGCTCCCCGATGACAAGAGACAGATGAAAACCAGTGAAGAGAACACACTCCTTTCTGAAGTTCAAGTTGATTGGCATTTGCTGTAATACCTGAACTCAATAAAGAAATTAACTCGATCATTCATTCATGGTCTGTATACAGGAAGTCAGGCACTAGTCTATGGGTCTGTGGTGAGTTCAGAGACTCAGATCCTCCTATACCTACATTTGATCCACTCATTCATTGTCAAGCCCGTGGCCGGCATTTAACATGATTAGCCTTAGACATGCTATCAAATGCCTTCTATTCTCAACCCCAAAGACTAATAAGAGGACCTCCATGCACAGTTACTCAAGTCAAACACATAATCATTTCTCATATTTCTTTTGCCCTCCTACAATACAGACAGCAGGAGGTCTGGGAGACTCCAGTTGCTCCTTTCAAGCTTCTTGCTTCACCTGCAGCTTAGTCATAGGCAACTCTTGCCTTGCCTACAGTAATAAGCTGCTAATTATTGTCCACAGTAATAGTATTTCAAAAGGCATGCTGTATTATTTGCCAAAATAATATTCAAAAAAGTTTAACACATGTAAAAGCACTTGTAAAGAAAGACAAATTGTCTTAGGATATGCTTAACTTTTCACTTTAAGGCCAAGTGGCATTTAGTATATGGTAGTATGTCTGTCTCTAAAACATACATATGCTTCCAACAGGAAACAGAAGAGAACAGAGTAGGTAGAGGCCAAGACATTCAGAGCTGCAACAAGAGAAAGACATAGCTGTAGGCTTCTGGGGCCCATGTAAAAGAGAAAAAGATGGAACAGTGGTTGCTCCCCAAAACCACGCAGAAGCAGGCCTCAGTTGCATGCTCCAGAAAGATGCCAAAAAAATGAGCACTGACTCCAGTGAAGTTTCTTGTGTTGGGAGGTGAAACTTGATGAATTGTTGACAACCATGAGTACTTTTTCACTTTAAGTTCTGAACTGACATATAAAAATTTCTTATGTTTATTATACACAATATGATATTTTGAAATATGTATATACTATGGAATGGCTAAATCAGACTGGTTAATGTGTAACTTCACATATATCATGCACATGGCTTTTGTATATGGGTGGTGGGGATACTTGCTTTTTTCAAATCTACAGTATGTGTGTATGATAGGTCTCTTAAATTATTACAACACAAAGCACTGCTGAGAAATGTGGTACTTTTATTTCTTGTGTATAAATGTTTGCCTGTATGCGCCCACCTGGTGCCCTCAGAATCCAGAAGAGGATGTTAGATCCTCTGAAACTGGAATTAGACAATTGTAAGCTGCTATCTGGGTTCTAGGAATTGAAGTTGGATCCTCTGAAAGTGAAACAAATATCCTTAACCACTAAACTATCTGTCCAGTCTCTATAATGCTTTTATTTGTGCTTTGTGTGTTCATTCATTTGGCTGGCTGGCTGGCTGGCTGGCTGGCTGGCTGGCTGGCTTGCTGGCTGGCTGACTGGCAGGTTGGCTAGCTGGAATTCTGGTTGGTTGGTTGGTTGGTTGGTTGGTCGGTGGGCCAGTCCGTCAGTTGGTCAATTGGCATAGAATCTCACCATGTAATCTAAGCTGGCCTGAACACTCCATTCTCCTACCTTGGTCTCATGAGTGCTGTGCTTTGAGGTTGCTAAGGTTATAGGTATGTTCTACCATGTATGACTAGAAATGCAGTGCTTTTTGAAAATGGTTATAGTTGGGCATGGGCACACATCTCTAATCACAATACTTGGGAAGCAGAGACGAGAGGAGCAAGAGTTCAAATCCAGCCTGGGCTACATACATACTGAGTCACTATGTCAAAACACAAAGTGCTCCATGGGCGGAGGCAAGAGTGGGCCTGTTTCCGGCCTGCCTTCTGCAGACCAGGCTATCCAGAGTCTGCCAGCATCCTAGCCCAGCCTCCACTCATGGGAGGAGGTAAGTGTGGGGGGCCGGAGAGGAGGGAAGGGGGAGGGAACTGGGATTGACATGTAAAACAAGCTTGTTTCTAATATAAAGAAGAAAGAAAGAAAGACAAAGTGCTGCCAGACCACATCGATGCAATAACAGTAAGATCTTGTCGAGGCAGACTTAAAAATGAACTATGTGGCAAATGGACAGAACATTTCAAAATGCCAAGGTCATGAAATGTAAAGAAAGCCTAAGAGACTGATGCAGACTAGAGAGGATTAAGAAAGCATGGGAACATGGGTCCTGGTTAGCTTTGTCAATTTGACCTAACCTAGAGTCACCTAAGAGAAAAGCCTCAATAGAATCGCCTCGGTCAGACTAGTCTGTAGGCATGTCTGGGGAGGTAGTATCGATTATTAATTGCTACAGGAAGGCACAGTCCACTGTGGGTGCCACCATCCTTGGCTGAATAAGCATAAGGCTGTGACTGAACAAACCAGCAAGCAGCATTCCCTCATGGTTTCTGCTTCAAGTTCCTGCCTTGAATTTCTGCCCTGACTTTCCTTAATGATAGACTGTGTCCAGAAATGTAAGAGGTAATACAAGTCCCTTTCTCCCCTAAGTTATTTTTTGTCCAGAGTGTTTTATCACAGCTACAGAAAGGAAACTAGGACACACATTTGTGTTCCTGAGTTCAACCTTGCGACAATGTGATGGTTGGAATGAGAATGGCCCTCATAAGCTCATGTATTTCAATACTTGGTCCCCAGTTAGTTGATCTGTTTGGGAAGGATTAGGAGGTGTGCGCTTGATGGAGATGTGTCACTGGGGATGCACTTGGGGGTTTCAAAAGCCCGTGTCATTCCTAGTGTCTCCTTCTCTCTTGCCTCTAGGTTGTATCTCAATATGTAAACTCTCAGCTACGGCTTCAGTACCATGCCTGCTTCCTGCCATGTCCCTGCCATGATGGTCATGGACTCTAACCCTCTGAAACTGTGAACTCCCACCAAACACTTCATTTTACATTTTATAAATTGCCTTGGTTATGGTATTTTATCATAGCAATAGAAAAGTAACTGAGACCGCCAGAAAAAGAAATCTGCAAAGTTGTCAATAATATTGCAGCAATGCTAATTTCTTGCATCATGAGTCATAGTTATATATGATGTCAACAATTTAGAGAAACTAAGTGATAGATACAAATATATGGATTTTTATTTTATTCAATTTTTGCATTTTTTAATTTATTTCAGGAAGAAAAATTTTCAATTAAAAACTTCGAACTATATCATTTAGGAATAGATGAGAGGCTACAAGAACCTAAATCCTCTACGAGATACGGTGGTTCTTGCCTAGGCAAGCATTCTACTGCCATCAGCATGTCGGCAGGGGCTGCCTTTCACAACTTACATTGGAGAAACTCATCCCGGGTTCTGGGATCAGGTTTTGAGATCCTATACTTGCGCTGGACAATGGCAGACACTTGAGTTCTGATGTCATATTCCTCTAGAAAATCAGAGAGTTGTTATTAGCACCTGTCCAGGTGGCTGGGAGAACTCAAGAAACAGGCCACCCTTCTCCACGCTTCTGGAGGGTCTGGTATCTGGGAACCCATTCATACTCCACGTACCAGACAAACCCTGCTGGAAAACACCCCAGACTGACAGAGAATCCATTTAAAACTCAGACATCAGCAGCCTGAGAAGTTAGTCATAGAAATGGTGATGCAATATGAAAGATGTACCTCCTTCAGGCTGCAAATATATATATATGTATACATATACATATATATATATATATATATTTGAGATAAGAATCATTAATGGCCTAACCAAAGAATAGCTTTGAAATGGGTCCTTTGCCCTCCCTTCCCAGGTTCCCTCTTTCCTCATTACCATTCTAGAAAGCTCCTCACCTTCCTTGGCAAACTCCTGGAGCTTTTCCTTATAGCCCTCTAGCAACTGGATTAAGTGCAGGGTTGAGTCTGTGATGACCTTGCGGATGCCTGAGAGTTTATCCTTCAGCCCTATGTAAACACTGGGGAAGGCAGAATCTTCTGTCTTCTTAAACTTGCAGTACTCCTGCAGAGGGGGAAACAGAACCAGGCAGCTCTTCTCAACATGTCTCTTTCTGCATCTGTGAAATGGGCTGATAGCAATGCGTGATTCACTGAGAAAGTGCTTATAAAGTGTTTTTCCTGTGCTTCTAGACCCTACAAAGGAAGCAAGTCATCTTAAAATCAAGTGGAAAAGTGGATTTCTTAATGTTAAAAGATGTCAGCTCCCATACACAACTCAGACTGGGGACCGGAGACTGAGAACATTCTTACCTCGGCCACTCCCCGAATTCTTTCTCTTTCCACAGCTCAAGTCCAAGTTGTAGTGAGAATGGGAGAACTGGACACTGCTGCTGTGTTCTAAGGATTCCCAAGCCAAACCTCAGTCCTTGTCAACCCCACGCATACATTTGCTATTCTTGCACTTTGCTTTAGAATTTGTAAAGCATATGTATACATCAATAAATCGCATTAAGCTGCTTAAATTCCAAACCCAATGTAGGATCAGGGAAGATTGTTTTTTATGTGCAACACAACATCACTACTCAGGTGCAGATGAGGCTTCAGAGAGCAGGCTGGATAGATCAGGAGTGAAATCGGTCCTACCACAGCAGACCTATAGAAGAGAAGTCCGAACCAGAGCTCTGTAGACAAGCACTTTCCTATTGTATATTGATTTGGTGCCACGCAAGATAAAAGTAATGCAAATAGGTGAAGCAAAACATAAGTCCTGTCGGTGTAAGTTACAGTCCATGACAGTAGTCAGCATTCAGTAGGCTGAGGCAGGAGGAGCCCAAGTTTAAGGCCAGCCTGGGCTACGTAGGGAAACCCTGCCTAAATAAAGAAAGAAATGCTGTCACTTTGACCGAATTATTTGTGGGAAAATAACCTATCTTTCACTAAGTTTTATAACTGAATTACATTATGCTAAAATATATTTTATGATTATTAAGGTTTTTAATCTTCAAAATAAAGTTACAAGGGCTAGAGTTGGTAAGAGTGCTTGCCTAACATGCATGAAGTCCTGCATTTGACCCCCAGTATGGCATAAACTGGGTGTGGTGGCTGCTGCTATAACCTGATCATTTTGGAGGAAACAGGAAGGTCAGAAGTTCAAGGTCATCCTCGGGTACATGGTGAGTTAGAGGCCAGCCTGGGATATATGAGACCTTGTCTTTTTAGAAGAGATCTTGCTAGAATCTCATGGAATGGGGACTCAAATCTTCACATTTTCTTTGTGTTTTGGAATTGCAAAGCAAAATAATGGAGAGAAAGAATGACTGCCCACACTTTTTGGTCTTTTTGGTACGTTTCTTTCACTTGCTGAAAGATTGGCTGGCTATCTTTGGGTACTGAGGTTATAAACATTTTTTGTTTAATTTTTCTTTTCTATATTTCTGGTTTTTACCCTAAGTATTTGATTTTCTGTAAACAGAAGGGAATTGTTTAAAAACAAAAGCAAGAAATTGTTTGCATTTGAATAGTAAAACTGAAAGAAAAGTTGCAGATTATTTACTCTGGCCTGTCGGTTTGGTAAGTGAGGAGTTTGATGCCCTTGAGAGTTTGGGTGAGGTTTTTAAACACTACACAGTGAAATCTAGTGACAGATCCAAGACCATGTGCAGTGTTATCCTAGAAGACGGCTTGTTCTGTAGACCTAGGGCTAACTGGCTTGTGCCTCCCATGCACATGATACATTGTGAGGCGGAGAGTTCCATTCCCATTGCTAAGTCCTCAGTTACCACAGTGGGCACAGCCCAATCTGAAAACCAGACAGTCTCTCCCATCTCGCACAACTGCTGGAGTATTTCATGAAACATCTCCATGCTCTTCACTTCCTGCCTAAAGTCCTTCATAGTTACATGCTGGTCTGGCCCTGCCAGGGTCATTTTCCATCACCACAGACCCCCACACCCACTCCTTGTCAAAGCGTAGCCGTGCTCTCTACGGCTGGTGGTCTCTATCTAGCTAGTACAGAACCTGGAACTTGAGCCACCTTCCAGGATCCTCCCCACTCTGAGCAGTCCTCCCTGTCCCTCCTGGATTACTGTTTCCTGATGAATCAAGACCTGAATCCCCTGCTTTTACAGTTCTCTGTATGAAAAGACAGTCCCATTCACAGTATGTCTCAGGCCAGATGGATCGAGGGTCCCCGCTGCCCTCCCCCACCACACACACACACACACACACACACACACACACACACACACAGCCTCCGTACCTCCAGGAAGAGCACAGTGTTGCTGATGGCGGCTAACTTCTCCAGCTCCTGCTTGCTTTTCTCCATCTCGATGCTTCTGTACTCCAGGTGGGTCTTGATGCCATTGACCTGATTCAGTGCAGCCTGTTCTTTCTCCTCTAAGAAAAGCATGACGTCAGCCTGGGCCTTCCTCATAGCCGCAAGGAGTTCCCCAAACTTCTCTTCAGCCACCACCTTCACCTCTGACACCGACACCTGTTGGAGGTTGAGTGGGAAGCAGGCAAGACTCCATTACAGAGGTCTCCGACATGTTCAAAGCTCAACATACATAACCATGAAGCTGAGAAGCCCAAAGGCTAAGGAACATCAGACTGTAAAAGGTGGTTTTGTTCCTGTGGGGATTCTGGGTTCCTGGGAAAATAGATGTACTCTTCCAGGTATATAATGATTCAGTGGTTCTCAAACTTCCTTTTCTGTGACCGTTTAATACAGTTCCTCATGTTGTGATGACTCCCAGCCATAGAATAATCTTTGTTGCAGCTTCATAACTGTAATTTTGCTACTGTTATGAATCACAATGTAAGTATCTGTGTTTTTCCAGTGGTCTTAGGCAACCCCTGTGAACGGGTCGTTTGACCCATAGGGCTTATGACCCACAGGCTGTGAGAACCACTGTACTGATTGTCACAAGGGCAGTACCAGTTTTCAGTATATTTGATAAATATATTTCAAGAGAGAAATGACTGTGCCGTTTTGGGAAAGCATCCTTAGCATTTCACTGCGCCTTGTTTAGTGACCATGGTCTAAGCCAAAAGTGCATCTGATGTTACAGTGTCTCTAGCAGGCAGTCACCACGAAGGGTTAGAGACTGTTGGTGACTGTGCACATCTCTGATTCCTTTGCCCTAATCCCTGTATCCCCACCCCATAGCCCAGGGCCCATTCTCTGCCGGCTTCAGCAACTTTCACACCACCATCTCCCACATAGCTGAGATCTCTCTCCATGGTCTGTGTCACTCTGTTGCAGGCACTGGAGCAAACTTCCCATCTCCTTGCATCCACCCTAACAAGAAGGCACCGTTATGCTCCCTGTCTCTGAAATGAAGACACTGAGACACCAGCAAATTCAGTGATTTGCCCAAAATCACAGGGCTATGATCAGCACCCCTGTGTTTGATCACAGCCATGGCCCAGATGCAGTTTGTCCGTGTGCTGGACCACTTAGTTCCCAGCGTGTCAGGTGTTGCAGTGGAAGGAAATGAAAGAGTCTTAGAGGGCTCTGCCCATACCCTCAGAAGGAACTGAGGTTGTTTTCCTGGACCCAACCCTCATCAGTTCCTGTGAGTGGGTTGTTATTAAAAAGTGAGTCTTGCTCTCCTGGCCTCTCTTTGTCTCTCTCCTGCACACATTCTTGACACAGTGGTGCTAGTCACCATGAGACCTCACCAGGACCCAGCTTGTACACATACGATTATGAACCCCCAAAACTGTGAGCTAAGCAAACTTATTTTCATTTACAAAGAACTCGGCTCAAGCACTTTGCTATAGCCATGGAATATGGACTCATCGTGGTACACTGTCTCAGAATATGGTCAGATTTCAATCTAAATGTCAAACTACATTTTAATGCTGAAAATAGAGAATGAAAGAAAAGATGGAGGGATCTACCTTGGAAGACAGGTCAGTTTTACTTATAGCCTTTGTTATAAGGGATTGGGATGGGGGCTGTAGCTCTGCTGGTGTCTCACTGTTAGTGTCTCATCCAAGCTGCACATCAACGAACTCATTCTAGCTCTCTGGCTCACCCTTCCCACCCATCAAGCGGGAGACATACATGTTTCCCAAGCTATAGAAGCATGGAGGGACTCCCTACCCTGCCCACTCCCTGTCCAGACTGGCTTTAAACTCTCAGCAATCCTCCTGCCTCAGCCTCCCAAGAGCTGAGATTACAGGTCACCTTAACAAGCTTGTGTCTGCTTTTTGAGTCAGGGTGTGTTTGCATGGGAGGGTGTGTATGGAGGTTTTTGCTCAGAGCTCCAGGAACTGTACATGCCCAGGCTTCTTCTATCATGGGAGGACGCTCTGTCTGAGCGGATCACTAGTCTTACGTGCTGGAGGCTGGAGAAAAGAGTTAAGAATTCCTAGACAAGTAAGAACAGTGCAGTGTCACACTGCTCGGCTTTGGCTTCTCTGACTTACAGCCACTTTTTAAGCAGACTCTAAAATCCAGGAACAGAAAAAGACATGGAAATCAATATGAGGATGTCATGGGGAAAATAACATAGTCCATTTAACCTCCATAATTACAATATGTAGGTTCCTCATAAAAGAACAATTATGTGAGTTTAAATGGCATTAGTCTGAAGACAAATTTCAAGGTCATATTCCTCCCCATCCCATCAGAGGCCATCCTGATGAAGGCTAGCATAAGGGAGGCATCTGATGATGCATGATGATGCTGGTGGATGAGACTCCTTCCTGATCCTGCTGGGGCATCTCCTTCCTAAGCTTTCCCGTTAAGAAATGTTTATTTGCATATCAATGGGATGTGTGAAGGATATTAATTACTTCCCAAGCCATGCAAAGAAAGAGCCATGAACAGATCAAAGTAGTCACTAGTTAGTGATTTAAAAATTTGAGGATGGTGCACATACCCAGTAATGCACTGAATCATTCTTGGGACAAGAAAACAACAATCCCAGATTCTCCCATCCAGTCACTGTGAAGAGTCCAAGACAGTCTTAACAATGTCTCCACATTCCTGGTATATGAGGGCCATTACAATACCTCTCTGGTCACCATATCATTATGAGAACTAAGTAGGAGTCAGATTAAAGACCCAGACAGCATCCTGTGTGATCCTCCAAATCGTTCAGAACTTGCAAATCAAGTCTCTGAGACTTTACAGGAGCGATTTTTTCTTTCTTTAGAAAGATAATGTACCTATAACAAAGAAAACGAGGTCTGTACAGAGGACGCTGACATCCGCCATGAAAGATTGCTTAGCTTTGTTCAAGCTAGCACCTCATGGCCATCGGCAGCCAAGAGGGACCCTGAAGAGAGAGACAGGAATCTCTAGGTATGTAAATTCCCTGCCAATTCCTAGAACAAAAGGGGTCCCTCAGTCCATAGGACCAGGCATAAGCAGTACACTATGACCTAGCCTGACTTAGCTGCAAGGGATAGGCCTGACTTATCAACTCTGTCTTAAGAGGGAGAGACTGCAGGGGTGTGCCCTGACTGCTGGGAGGCACAGGGAACACAGCAGTTAGAAGGCCTGTGGCCTAATTAACAACTGTGGATAAGGAGTTGGTTATAAACAGCTAGTTGGTTATAAACATTCAGGAGACAAAAATTAAGTTGGATACTAGATTAGAATAAGTGTATGAGTGAGTGGGTGGATGGATGGATGGATGGATGGATGGATGGATGGATGGGCATGTAGATAAGCAGATGAGTAGGTGAATATATAGGTGGGTAGGTGGATAAACTGTGGATGAATGATGAACAATCAGATGGGCAGAATCATTCATTCTCAGCATGCAAAGTCATTGCCATAGGGTAGGTGCCCTGCATTCTCTTCTGAGTGATGGCTCTTGGCTTGTCACCAATGGTATTTACGGAACTTACTATTGGGAAATTAAAATCAAACCAAAAGAGACTAAAGCTAAGCTGCCTGTCATAGCATTGACCTTACTGAATGCCACTGACTAATCTAGGAGTTCTTGATTCTTTTTTGCAGCTTCCAATAGACCATCCTCCAGGGATAGAAGAAGCTAGGGGACACGTAATTCCTGGAGCTCTGACTACACATCTCCAATCACAAGCACACACATACGAACACATTTCCCTTAGTTAAGAAAACATATAAAAATCTTGATATGGTGGTGTGTGTCTATAATCCCAGCAGCACTTGAGAGGCTGCTGCAGGAGAATTGCTAAGAGCTTGGTGCTATGGGCTCTACATAGTGAGTTCTAAACTAGTGTGAGCTACAAAGTGAAACTCTGTTAAAAGAAAAATAAAGATAGTGAGTGTGTCCCCCAGAAGGAAGGAGAGAGGGAGAAAAAGACAGAGAGAGAATATGCACATATAAAATTAAGAAAGCTGTTAGTCCAAGACTAATTTGCATCTATTTCATATTATTAAAAGGTGAAACACTTACCCAGTTTTAAAACTTAAGTTAACATAAAAAATTCTTATTTATTTTATATGTATGGATCTTTGCCTGCATTTACATCTGCATACCACACGCCTGATGCTCATGGCAGCAAGAAGAGGTCATTAGATCCCCTGAAACTAGAGGTACAGACAGTTGTGAGCTGCCACATGGGTGCTGGGAATGGAACTGGGGTCCTTCGAAAAGGCAGCTGGTACTCTTAACCACTGAGCCGTCTCTCCAGCTTGCTTAAGGCAATTTTATAAGAAATCCTGACAAGGTGAAGGCACCGCATAACATGACCAACTGTGCCTGCTACTCTCATTTGCTGAGACCCCTGGCTCTTCAACCCACATTCCACAGCCCCAATCGGATCTCACTAACTGCAGTGGCAGCCAAGTATGCTGAAGCAAGAGAGGTGACCCGAACCAGTCTTACCAAAACAGACTTGTGGTTGGCTTGGAGCCTGGCAATGGCATTTTCATTCAGCTTGAGCTTCTGCTCCAGGTCCAACTGCATGCACCGAAGGTCAGCCTGAGAAGGAAAAGGGAGAAAATTAAGGAGCAAAGAGTCTGGTGTATACAGATAGTCCCCAAGAGCAATAGCGTGTTCTGTCTTTCTCTCCTGAAAGGAGAGCATGACATTTAAAGCTGATCTCAGAAGCCAGCCTAGAGGCACAAAGGGTCAGACAGGTGTCAGTGCCTCCCGGGACTGAATTCAACATGAACCAGCTATCATGTCCTAAGCATGAATGCTGTGCTGGAATACAGGTCATTTATGTCCCACTCTGGCCAAGAATCTAGCTACATTCTGCCTGTGTCCTGAGAAGTTAATTCAGGGTGAATTCAAAAGTAATAACCTAACTTGTTTGGCAGAGGACATCTCAAGACAGACAAACATTCAGGCTGAGTCACAGTTACTGCTCACTGCCCTCATCCAGGTCTGCAGTGAGAGAGAGCAACGGTGGGAAGGAAAAAACATGCAACTTGTCAAGGAAATTAGCATGAGAAATTAGAGATGCAGACAAGAGTGGAGAAGTCTCATGCTCTGTACAGGACATAGGGCAAGTGCTTTGGGAGCAAGACTTCCCATAAAAAGGTCCTGTATATACGAAGATGCAAATAAACTTTGAAAAGAGAGACCCTGAACTAAGACTGTCACAGAAGGGGTTCACTGCTCAAAAACAACCACCTGGTGAAGTGCTCCACAAGATTCAGCCAGTCACCACCATGTTTGCCACCATAGCTGCTTCCTATTCATGTTCCATGTTTGCACCTGAAAGCAAGTTCTACCCTCCCCACCCCATCCCTGCCCAAGCCAAAGCAAGTGCCTGCCTGAGAATCTTAGGTTTCCCTGCCTTGACTCTTCACTCTTGGCTCCTGGGCTCAGAGGACACCATCATCTGCCAAAAAGACAATCTGCAAACACAGAGAACCTAAGCCTTTGCAAACCTTAGAGGTACTGCCACTTTCCTGTGTCCACAAGGGCATGAGATAGGGAGGGAAGGAAGGAAGGAAGGAAGGAAGGAAGGAAGGAAGGAAGGAAGGAAGGAAGGAAGGAAAAACAAAGCACACACACCTAATAAACAGACAGCTCTCCATGCTTTTAATAGCTTCTGTCTATGTTTCAAACCAAGGCATTATGCCCAATAGACCTCAGAAGTCATAAATTAAGCATCCGGCTATTTTCCCATGAAGCCTGGAGGAGTTTCACACCTCCCTTCACTCCCCCCCCCCACACACACACAGTGAAGGAACATCAGTAGGCAGAGCACTGGGTCATTGAAGAGGGTGGGCAGGCAAACTTTACACAAGCTCCAGGTCACTGGAGTGAAGCTGAGGGTGCCTGGGGATCACACCCTTGACACTTGAGACCTGATGCCTATAAGTGTATGACTGGGGAATGGAGAGGAGGAGTGCTGGGCCTATTTAAGGACAATCTTGGAATCTTTTGCAGTGACCCAGACCCAGGGTCGAGGAGGAAAAGGTGAATTGCTGTTTTGAAGGAACTGGAAGACACGACAGAGCATGCCCCAGCAGCTTGGGTCATCTGAGTAGTGGTGCCACAAGTGTGTTTTAAAGTGGCTATCCCAGCCAAGCTTTCGAGAGACACCCAGGGTTTCCAGCAAGGGATTTCTCGCCTCTGCCCTCAGACTTCCATAATAGGAGAAAGGGATGCCTACACACCAGAGGAGGACCCTCTGAGTCATCGCTCCGGATTACCACAAAAGGTGGGGCTGTGTTGGAGTCTTGTCTCTCCAGTTATTCCTGTTCCTAGAAAATGATGGGCTGCCTTAGACTCTGACCTCAGAGTCCCCTAAGAGAGAGGCCGTACACTCATCTCAGACCCGAGTGCACCCGGCCTGACAACAGGACAGTGCTGCCAGGGAGTACAGACTACCGTGTCTTCTAGCAGAGAGCACAGAGTGGGAGAGCACTGAGAAAGGACCATACTGGGGTATGAAGACCTTGTTCCTGGCCGCAGGATCTTGTCGAGTCATTTAGTTTCTACTCTGCTGTAAGACTGACTTTGCCTATAGCATCACATGAGTTAGACCTGGACTCTGACTCCATTCCTCCATGGCTGCACCAGCACCTACTGCATGCAATAAGATCACACACACTCATGCCTCTTGGAAAACATAGTGAGATAGTCTGGTGCTTGTGAGTAAACAAGTTATACAATATTGACCCCAAGACACTCATTTAGGTCTCTGTGAGAAATTATCACCCTCAGTAGCCCCATACTACCTATTGACTACCACCAGCAAGGAGACTGGGTGATGCCGGGTGACAACTCTCCAGACAAGCACAAAACCTTCCAGTTCTCGGATGGTTGGTACCTTCTCTTCATGGAGATTGGGCACAATCAGGATCCATCTTGACCTTCTGGAATCAATACTAAGCTTGAGCTAGTGACCTGGCACTAGTGATCTTCAAAGGCCTGAGGAATGATTTAACTCAGGCCTGCCCTCCTCCAGGAGCACGGCCCTGACGTCACTTCCAGGCCAGCTCCCCACTTCAAACAGCAATTGTGCTGGACCAACCCTTTGGCATGCCATGAAATCATAGTATGTGTCATAGCTTCCTGAACCCAAACTCCCTGAGGTTACACAGTACAACCATCGAACCAACTTAACCCATCAGATGCACTCTGAAAAGCAGCAAGGAACCACATGCCCTTTCTGGGGCAGAGAGAATAACAAAAGTAGTCCCGGGAACCTAAATTACACGCACACACACACACACACACACACACACACACACACACACACACACCGGTTGGGCTGGGGATGACAGTGGAGATGGAGCTCTCATTTCCATGCTGGCAGGCCTGCAATTCCGACAAGGTAAAAGGGGTCTCAGGATGCTCAGCTAGAGCTGAGAGGAGCACCAAGGTCTCTGTTAGGAGCAGCTGAGCTCTGGAAGTTCATCAGGATGGAACCAGCAGTCAGGTGCATCCAGCTCTCGACACCTAGTTTTCCTCCGTCAGTCTAACTGGTGGTAGCCATGGCACTTCAGAAAGGACTCATATGGCTGACAGAAGCGTCACTCTGTGCCCTCCCAGCTGACCTTACTTTGCCATTTTCTGTGCACACATGCCTGCATGAGTTATTAGCCCTTGACTGGCTCCAGAGTGACCTTCAGAAAGCAAGTTTGCCTCCAGGAGGTGTAGGCCTAGCTGAAAGGAACCTTCGATATGTCAAATAAGCCTTTCCCAACAATCCTAATAGTGCTTGTCTCCTCAAGATACTGTCTCTTGAGCTGGGCTCCTTGCAATAAATCTTTTGGCTTCTAAGACTTTGTGGAGCCACTTATAGTGTGGCTGCACCCACAGAGTAAACTTGCTCTCTGAGCTGACAATAAGGACATAGGATGAAAGGACATGGCTCTCTAAGCAAACCAGAAAGAGGGGGCCATGGCACGGGGCGGTGGCACTACACCCCCACAACCTCTCAGCCAGCATTTTGTGTTGCACAGCTGTCTCCTCAGATGTGTACATCTGAGGCTCTCTGTATGTGCTCCTCACTGCTCCTCCTGCCCAAAGTGCTCACCCAAGTCTCTGTGGTACTGGGAGGTCTAGCCTTCAGTTTGTATTGTTTCTGTGTTGGTACAGGCTCACAGCATTTCTGAAGGAACCGGACATAGATGTTTTGAGCAGAGGAAGGGAATCTGGAGTTGGGGTGGAGAACTTCCTCCCTACTCAAATCTGTTGCATTGTTTGTTAGAGATTGTCTTTAACATCCTCATGCATAAGTTTTCCAGTGAGAAATTCATAAAATTCAGATACTATATCCAAAGAGAATAACAACATGCTATGCCCAAATGTCTCTAATGTGTGTACACCAGATCATGGTTGGTTTTGTTTGTTTGTTATTTATCTGGGGTTTTGTTTGTTTGTTTGTTTGTCTTTCCAGTCAGGGTTTCTCTATATGACCGTCCTGGCTGTCCTGGAACTAGCTCTGTAGACCAGGCAGGCCTTGAACTCACAGAGATCCTCCTGCCTCTGCCTCCCGAGTGCTGGGATTAAAGGCGTGGGCCACCACCTCCACGCTTTGTTATTCTGTCTTAATGGTTGTTTTGTTATTCTCTTTAAGTAAGCTTAGGTCTGGGGAGACAGTTCAGTCAGTAAAGTGCTTGCTGTGCAAGCATGAGGACCTAAATTCAATACCCAGAACTTACATTTGAAAACGCTGGGGGGTGCTGAAGGGATAGCTCAGCCATTAAGAGCTCTGGCTACTCTCCAGAGGACTGGGTTGAATTCCCAGCACCCACTGGGTGGCTCATGACTGTCTGTACTTCTGGTATCTGCCATGCAGACAAAACATCCATATACATAAAATGAAAATAAATAAATATTTTTTTAAAGCTGGGAACTGGAGAGATGGTTCAACCATTAAGAGCACTTTCTGCAATTGCAAAGGACACCTGGATTTGGTTTTCAGCACCATTGTGATAGCTCACAACTCTCTGTAACTCTGGTTCCAGGAGATCCAACACCCTCTTCTGACCTCCACAAGTACCAGTCACACAGGTGATGTCCATACATGCCTGAAGATAAAATATACACATAAAATAAATCTAAAAGATTTTTCAGGTTAAAAAACATTTAGGTATAGTGCTGTGTGATTATAACCCAGTGCTGGGGAGGCAGAGACAGGTGGATCCCTGGACTTTGCTGGTCAGGCAGCCTTGGCTGTTTGGTTAACTTACATCTAAATGAGAAGAAGCCCTGTCTCAAAACAATAGGAGCTATTGGCGGTTGATATGTACTGGGGTGGAGCAGGGCAAGGAAGATCACTCTCCTTTGAGGATGTGGCCTGGTAGGATTCCCATGCTCCCACGGATGACCCAACACCCATGCTCAAACAAGCAGTACTAACTGGACTTAGTGGATTATAAAAAACAAAAGATGATGAGTTGGAAGGGGACAGATTGGGTGTATTTGGAAGAGGTGGAGGAGGAAATGGGGAGGTACATATAACCATATTTCACTGCATACCTATAGGACAATACCTGAGGTTAGCACAGGCATGCACACACACACATGCACACACATGAATACATATCCACATATAAAATAAATATTAAGATTACAAGGTTGTGATTTGAGTTTTCCTTCATTTTTCTCCAATAAGGAGCTTCCGTGACTCATTCATCAACTGTGTGAACATGAACAAGTACAGTAGAGACAATCAGAGCCCTCATTGAAATTTCAGATGGGAAAAATCCATAAAAAGTATGAAGTGGCAATGCCCAGCAAGGGTTGTCTCCCTCCGTGGGGTGGGGCCCTCTCCTTTTATGGATTTGCTGATTTCTATGCTTTCCTTACAGGACATCCTCTGATAATGGAAACACTGGAAACAGTCGGCAAGTAGTTTCCCAGGCCGGAAATGGTGACTCACTGACATCTGGAATGCAGAACTTTCAAGAACAACACCCACTAGGGCTAGAGAGAATCTACCTCTGGCATAGGTACAGAGGAAGTAGCCTGGTGAGGAAAGCCTTTACCCAGGTACCTCTTTCTTTAACTGCCCAGGAACACGTGCCACAAAATGACGGTGGCCCTGTCAGCTGTGGGCAGTCCAGAGAGGGAACAGCCTCGAGTGGGAAGCAGGGCCTGTGGGACAAGAGTCAGCCTCACTTCCTACCAGGAAAAACTCAAAGTGGGAGAAAGAGCCATGTAAAGCTGTGCAATCATCCCCAACGTCTCATCTGGGCTTTTTGGCTTTAGGACAAAGGTAAGCAGTGTTCCAGAAACGGTTTCTTTAGCTGATGGAAGTAAAATTTCAGACTGTGAGCGAGGTATTTCTTTTTTTGTTTTTGTTTTTGTTTTTCAAGACAAGGTTTTTCTATGGCTTTGGAGGCTGTCCTGGAACTAGCTCTCGTAGACCAGGCGGGTCTCGAACTCACAGAGATCCACCTGCCTCTGCCTCCCAAGTGCTGGGATTAAAGGCGTGAGCCACCACCGCCCGGTGAGCACAGTATTTCTTATCCACTCCTGATAGCCCTATCTGATAAGAAACTTTTATTTTCCAGTCAGTTAAGTTGTCCTTGGCACTAACCTCAGCGTGTGTTTCAAATTCTGTTATCTTGGCTTTTTTTTTTTTAAACTCTAACGCAGCCTTTTATACTGACTTCTTTTGCGGTAAAAAGAAAACGAGAAATGAAGCTTGAGGTTTAGTCTTTTCTCTTGGACTTCTGCCAAGGTTTGTATTTCGTGGGCTGATAGTAAATATGCTTCATAAATCCTGTCAGAGGGAAATACCACCCTCCTGAGGCAAAATTTCTCAAGTCCACACCCAAACACACATTACCAAACACTAACAAGAAGCGGGCGAAAATTCCCACGCAGGGACAGAGGCAGTAGACACTGCACAGCAACAGGGACTCAGGGATGGGGACAGTGACCCACTTTTGTTTCCAAAGCCAACGGCTATAGGTATTTACTTACACTGTAGGTATTCGCTTACACCCAGGCACTACAAGCCGAAGTCCTTGTCTGTGACCTCAGAACACAAAGGGACATCAACAGATCCAGGAGTGGTGGCATGTCTGGCCTCTCCCTGGGTACAGCATCTCCCACTGTCCCCTCCCATGTGGACAGACCCCTCTCTCACCTCTTTGTTCCTACGGGCTGCGTCTAGGGAGCCGGTGTTGTGGCCCCTGTGCTCGCCCTCGCCACAGGCCTGGCAGATGCATTGCTGGTGTGTGTGACAGAAGGCAACCAGAGGGCTGTGGTGGGCAGGGCAGGTCCGCAGATCCTGGTCCTTTGCCGGTTCTGTCAGCTGGTGGCTGTGCAGTTTGCTGTTCTCCTGGTGTGGTCGCAGGTGCTCTTCACAGTAATTCACCATGCAGGTCAGACAAGACTTCACTGCCCTTACTCTGCTGGCCCCAAGACAGAAGTCACACAGGATCTCCTCCTCCCCCTCATCACCAGGAGCCCCGACTTCTGCGGGATCGCAGCCCTGGCCCTGGGTTTCCTCTCCTGGCTTCCCCACAGAGTCCACATCCTCTTCTTCTACTGGGATAGCTGGCCCAGGTTCTGGGTCCAGAGGAGCCGAAGGACGAACGGTGATCCCAGTCAGTGGCCCTGGGGCAATCAGATCCAGTTCAGCCATCTGGAGGCTCTGCGGACTAAGGCGTCCTTCCTCTGCCCCTTGGCTCGGGATCTGTGTAGCCCAAGTCAGACCAAAGAGCCACGCCTAGCTGATTGCAGCTGCCCTGAGACGTTAACTGTTTCCTTCCTCCCGAGGAAGCTCAGTTACTCAGACAGGACTGGGTTCCTCTGAATCGGAGGAGGAGCCAGCCCCAGTGACAAGACAAATGGCACTCAAGCTCAGGACTGCCCTTTGTCTCTGAAGTCTCTTCACTGGCTCAGACTTCTTCCTATTCCCAGTCCAGCCCAGAAACTTCTATTCATTTGGAACTCGTTTGTCTCGCCTCCCATAGGCTCTGAGGGAGACCACATGAGCCTCTGGGTCTGGAAAACAGCAAGATTCCTGAGCTCTATTGTAAGCCTGTGTGGCTTGGAGTGTTCCCACAAGCCATATGTTTGTTTTGTATGTTTTAAAGGGATCCAAAATACAAGGACTTTAACATTAGATCAGCTACTTACCCTAAATGAGACACCAGCTTGGTTCCCCCCACCACTGCAAAAACTATGACCTAAATAAATAAATACCATCTAGCTTCATTTGCTGTTAATAACTTGCTTTTAGCTGACTAGCTGACTTCCATTTTATTTTTGGTTTTGTGTGTGTAGGTTCATGAGAGAGACAGACAGACAGACAGACAGACAGACAGACAGACAGACAGAGACAGAGCTCAAAGAATGTGGTGTCTTCCTCAATCGCTCTCCACCTCATTTTTTGAGACGGGCTCTCTCAGTGAATCTGGAACTTGCTAGGTCATCTAGAGCAGCTGGCCAGCAAGTCCCAGGGACGTTCTTGCCTCTGCTGCCCAGTGCTGGGGTTGCAAATGAGCACTGTTGCATGGAGCACCATTGCATGGGTACCGGTGATCAAACTCAGGTCCTCGTGCATGCCTAGCAAGCACTTTGCCCCTGGACCACCTTCCCAGCCCCACTTCTAGTTGACCTTTAAAAAACATCTCTCGTTTGAGAGCCCACACCGCTGGGCAGCTTCTTGGTCCTCTGCTCTCTGCCACGAACACCTCTAGCATGTGGGTTCTGATGATAATGGTTGCCTGGGTCACTCCTCTGAAACTTGAAGGCTTTTTGTTGAAATTGACTCATCTGGATCTGAGCAGGTGACCAGTGGGTGACCTTTTGGCATCGGAGAATCAAAGCTGCTACCTTCAGAACATTGTAACGTTGGTATGTTCTGAACACACCTCCCGTGAAGAGCCATGAAGACCATCACCCTGACACCCTTCCCCCACCCTGCTTCTTTGTCCCGTAAATGTCACCAGACCCCATCCTCCAGGAGTGGGACTTGATTGTGCGTCTCCCTTTCTGTGCCCACCTCAGCTGCCTTCAAATATGATGTTTCTCTTTTGCAAAGGTCCTGGTCTCTGTGTTTGCCATCCTGTGCAGCAGCCTGCTTCCATAACTGCAGGACACAACGCGTGTTTCTACTCCTAGTCCCCCAGTCTCAGCTTCTAGTGCATTCCAGAAGCTGACAGGGAATAGGTGGTAGTGGAAAAGAGTCGGGGAAACCAGGGAAGACACTGTCCCCTTCCACAGATAGCTCCACACAGCCTTTCCAGACCACATATCCTACTCTGTGGTTTCAGGGAGGGAAAAGTACTAACCTAGACCTACATCCATCTAATAGAAGTGTTCCTAGATAAGACATCCTCCATCTTCCCAGGCTGTCTTAACAAAGTGCCACAGACCGGCTGACTTTTAAACAGAAATTAATTTCCTGACAATTCTGCAGATGGGATATCAATGCATGGAGATGGCTGTAGTAGCCATAGCCTTCCTCTGAGGCCTCGCTCCTTGGATTGTGGTGTCCTCCCCCATTCTTCACATCATCTTCCCAATGCTTATCTGTGTCCTCATTGCCCATTCTTAGAGAGACATCAGTGAGGCTGGATTGGGGAACCACCTTGCCTCATCTTGCCTTGGTTACCTGTTCAAAGACCTACTTCCAAATGTAGTCACGTTCTGAGATAGCGGGGGGTTATAACCAGTGTATGAATTTGGAGGGTAAGGAGGGGAATGAAACTGCTCATGGCACATGACCAGAGGATGGAATGGGAAGCAAGTGGTTCCTGGTGGAAAGAGCTCTCCTGGATACGCCCATAACAAACTGTTTAATAGAAGGACTATTCTAGGGCACATGTACCCCAACTTCTGTGTCCAAGAGATGCTCCAAGTTTCCCCCAGGATTTTTCCAGATCCCTATAAAGACTCAGGTGGTTTGGAGAACTTTCAGAATAGAGAGAGAGACGGTGAGGGAGAAGATTTTGGGTCGGTAAACCGTGGACTTTAGGATTGGGGTTGCTCTGCTACGGTATCTGCCATGCAGTTCTGCCATGCAGAACATGTCAAACACCCAAGAAATCCACATGGTCCTCAGGATCAGAGCACATGAGAGGCTAAAATCTCGACCCTGGTGCAGCCCTGTGTACTTTGAAGACACCATAGGGCACCCATGCCATGATTTCCTAGCGTCTGTATTTTAACCATGAAAAGCTGCCCAAGTGTCCTTGTTCCTAAGTGTCCCACCCTTGGAAGATCCCCAGAAGACATTTCTCAGAACTTAATTTCATGGTTGTTCTATCTCCAGCCAGGAGAAAGCTTGTCCAACCAGCCAGTTCATTCTCAACACTTCTTCAATACCAACGGATATTTCCAGCATGACCTAGTACTTACCAGAAGCTGAACTCATTTGCCCACATGCCTCTGATCTTTCTCAGAAGGAGGAAGTAGTTGCCCTGACTGGCCCATTCTATAGCCTCTAAGGTGGAGGAGAAAGAAGAGAGTCTGCTGTCTCTATGTAATTCTCACTCATCTCTCATTCCTTTACTATCTCATTCCCACCCTTCGTCCCTCATTAAGAATTATCTCCTGTTAGGTCCCCCTTTCTATGACTAACACTTTAATGCAGCGTATAGACAGTGCTTGTCCCTCTATCTGTGCCCTGAGTTAACACATACCACATAGCCATGAAAATGTGTGAAATCTAAATGTGGGTCCCAGCTTCACCTGGCATATCATCTGCCTTCTCCAGACCTCTTAACTGAGACAATGACCTAAGCCAACAGTGTTGGCTCCTGGAGAACTGTCAATATAGGTCTATATTTGTGCCAGCTCCCTGGGAATGAGAGCGGTGTGATATAGACATGGGTGGAAGACAGCAGTCTCTAGAGGCCCTTCTCAAGCCTCTAGGAACACGGAAGTCATCAAAATGTCTGAATCTGCTTCAACATTAACCTGCAAATCAGAGTCTTGGCAGGGGGTGTCTAGGCCCAAGCTCTGATCCCACTACCAAGGACTGGAATATATCTCTCCAAGTCTTGGATGTCCTTCAGCACCTCAACACCAGAAGATTGAAGACATTAAGTCGTGGATTCTCTTATACTCTAATTTCTAACTTTCTACTGAACCGAGTGTTCTGCAATAACTGTCCCCTCCTTTCCACGGAGACCCAGGACATTATAGGTGACAATTTTCATCACTTAGTCAGTTTCTTTTGCCTCCTTACACAGTAGCTGAAACTTGAATGCCCCATAATGTCTCTCTCTGTTTCTCCTACCACTTCTCAACTGGCCCTGCCAGCCCTTTTCTCATCTCTTATAATTCTCAAAGCGTAGGTAGGATAGGAGTCCTCGTTCCCCACTGCAACATCCAGACGCCATTCCCCAGCCCTCTTGCAAATGTTGCTTGTATTAGTCCATTTTGTTGTTATAAAACCAAATACCCAAGGCTGAAACTTTATAAAGAAAAGGGGATTGTTTAACTCACATTTCAGAGGCTGAAAGACACAGATCACGCAATCTCCTCTGTTTGGCTTCTGGTCAAAGTCCCATTGATTATATTCCCACATAACAAAGCCGTATACAGAAAAAGCCAGACACATAGTTCAGTTTTTTATATAAGAATCCATTTTAGCATGAACTAATCAGGATTCCAAGAGAACTAAATTAATCCTTCTGAGGGCAACGCCTTCTAAAACCAATCCATTCCCAGTGAGCTCCACCTCCCAAAGATTCTGTCTCCCGGTATCACACACAGAGGATAAAGTGTTCAGGACACAAATCTACAGGGGACACACTCACATAAGCCATGGCACTGCCCCAGTACCACCTTCCCCCCCTCTTCCTGCCTGTCTTCTGCCAGCTTCCCAACCACCCTGCAAAGTGAAGGAAGATTTAAGGGTCACAGCCTCCCTTTCCACCCCGATACCGTCACTATTCTCAGAAGTTCTCTGAATGCTTCTCACCAACTTTTGGTTAGGGTTTTTCATTTTAAATTATTGCAAAGTGCCCATAGCATAAGACACAAATAATAAAGATGTGCCCGCCTCAACCATTTTTCACATGTTTCAATGATATCAAGCGTCTCTGGAGCATTTCATCTTTTGCACCTGACAAGTTGCGCTCACTAACTAGTAACTCCCCGTTGCCTCTCCCTTCAGACCTAAAATCATCCTTCTGCTTTCTGTTCCTATCAGCTCCACTATTTTAAGTACTTTGTAGAAGTGTCCATCTTTTCACAGTTAGCTGTTTCCACTTGGTGCAATATCGTCTGAGTTCATCCATGACTCCTGGGGAGACTCCTCACATTCATCGGGTGTCAATTGTGTCTCCTTGGGTTCATGGGAACCCCAAGCATTCTGCCTTCTGTAGTGCCTCTCTCATCCAATCAAAGCCACTATCATTTCATCTAATTCCAAAGACAAACCTGTCACCAGGACTGTGAGGACCAGGCATGGTTTACTATCCTTTTCCAGAATACAAGGAGGTTCCCTACCCAGAATCGTGCTGACTCACATAATACACACAGCCAGTGACTGGCAGGAGGGTGAGTGAGGAACGATGACTTTCCTCGCATTGAGCTCCTGGCAACTGATCTGCTGTCACTGGTGATGGGATCTGGGTGGGGAATGAAATAAAAGCCCATTGCAAGGTGTCGAGGAAACTTCATTCAAAAGCAAGGCAACAGTACAGAACAGACAGGAATAGCGTCAAGAGTGACAGCCGGCTGTGTGGGAGAATCATATCTAGCCACTACTCTAAACGGAACCTTGCAGTTTTTCTAGTAAACTCCCCGAACTTCAGAACTCCTGAACCTGAAATTGTGTCTGGAAAACAGCCTGACTTTTCTGGCTCTTACAGAGGTGAGGAGGGGGGACCTTGCCCCTGGCCTAAGGCCTCCAACCCAGCTTTTTTCATATACCAAGAAGGTTCTTGTTTTGCTTTGATATCTATTGCTAGAAAAGCCACGGAACAAAATGAAGAGAACAGAGCATCTAAGGCTTAAGGGATCATTGCTCTAATTTCAAAACATAGATGTTGTAATCACCCCATCACCAAGCTTCCAACATCCCTTTCAGGGACAGTGATGCATGCTCTCAGGAAGGAGGGGTCACCGCGGGGCATTGCACATGCTTTCCCTCCACAAACATACGAGGACTTTCTTGTGGTGCCCAGGACAGTCTGCTGGTAGCACAGGAAGAATAATATGTCCTGCCTGTCTTGCTCAGCAAATAGAGCAGAGCCTGG